CATATGGTTTTCCATAAAGCAGTTCATAAGAATTCCAATCTCCCCGCAGCCTCTCTAACATCTGTTATTTTCTGTTTTTTCTGATTTGTGCCAGTAATGGCGAGGTGAGATGGTATCTCATTGCAGTTTTGATTTGCATTTCTCTAATGGCTAGTGATTGCGGGTATTTGCTCATGTGTCTGTTGTCTTCTTGAGTGTCTTCTTTGGTGAAGTGTCTGTTCATATCCTTTGCCCTTTTTTTAATTGGGTTATTTGTCTTTTTGTTATAGAGTTGTTGGATTTTCTTGTAGATTTTAGAGATCAGATCTTTGTCAGATATTTCATAGCCAAAAAAATTTTTTCCCAGTCTGTAGTTTCTCTATTTACTCTTTTGGTGAAGTCTTTAGATGAGCATAAGTGTTTAATTTTTAAAAGATCCCAGTTATCTAGCTTTTTTTCTGGTGTTTGTGTATTGTTAGTTATGGGTTGTATCCTATTTATGCCATGTGTTAGGGCCTCTAGCATTGACCTCATTTTTTTCTTCTATGATCTTTACAGTTTTTGGCTTTATATTTAGGTCTTTGATCCATTTCGAATTAGTTTTTGTGTATGGTGTGAGGTATGGGTCCTGTTTCATTTTTTTTACAGATGGACATCCAGTTTTGCCAGTACCATTTTGTTAAAAAGACTGTCTTTTCCCCATTTGATGGAACTGTGGGCCTTTGTTGAAGATCAGGTGACTGTAGGTGGATGGATTTATATCTGGGTGCTCAATTCTGTTCCATTGGTCAACGTGTCTATTGTTGTACCAGTACCAACCTGTTCTGACTACCATAGCTGTATAGTAGGTTCTGAGGTCACGTAGTGTGAGGCCTCCTACTTTACTCTTCTTCTTCAATAGTGCTTTACTTATTTGGGGCCTTTAGCTAGATTGATGAAGAAAAGAAGATAGAAGATTCTAATTACCAGAATTAGAAATGAAAGAGGGGACGTTACTACTGACCTTATATAAATAAAGAGAATTATCAAGGAGTGCAATGAACAATTATACACCAACAAATTAGATAACTTAGATGAAATGGAAAAATTTCAACAAATACACAAACTACTGCAACTGACTTAAGAAGAAACAATCTGAATAGACCTATAACATGTAGAGAGGTTGATACAGTAATCAAAAAACTACCCACAAAGAAAAGCCCAGGCCCAGATGACTTCACCTCTGAATTCTACCGTTCAAAGAATGTTGTATTGTTGTCAGGTTCATCAAGTCAGTTCTGACTCATAGCGACCCTATGTACAACAGAACTAAACTTGGCCCAGTCCTGCGCCATCCTCACAATCGTTGCTATGTTTGAGCTCACTGTTGCAGCCACTATGTCCGTCCATCTCATTGAAAGTCTTCCTCTTTTTCTCTGACCATCTACTTTACCAAGCATGATGTCCTTCTCCAGGGACTGGTCCCTCCATATAACATGTCCAAAGTACATAACAAGAAGTCCTGCCATCCTCATTTCTAAGGAGCATTCTGGCTGTACTTGTTCCAAGATAGATTAGTTTATTCTTCTGGCAGTCCATGGTATATTCAATATTATTCACCAACACCATAATTCAAAGGCATCAGTTCTTCTTGGGGCTTCCTTATTCCAAGCTTCACTGAAGATGTTGGCAAAAAACAAGCCTCCAGGAAATGATGGAATACATACTGAGACGTTTCAACAAATGGATGCAGTGCTGGAAGTGCTCACTAGTCTATTCTAAGAAATTTGGAAGACAACTACCTGGCCATCCGACTGGAAAAGATCGATTTTATGCATATTCCAAAGAGAGGTAATCCAACCAAACGCGGAAATTATTGAACAATATCATTAATATCAAACACAAGTAAAATTTTGTTGAAGATCATTCAAAAGTGGCTGCAGTACACAGTAGTACAGTGACAGGGAATTGCCAGAAATTCGAGCCAGATTCAGAAGAGGACATGGAACCAGGGATATCATTGCTGATGTCAGATGGACCCTGGCTGAAAGCAGAGAATACCAGAAAGATGTTTAAGATGTTTACCTATGTTTTATCGACTATGCAAAGTCATTCGACTGTGTGGATCATAACAAATTATGGATAACATTGAGAAGAGTGGGAATTCTAGAACACTTAATTGTACTCATAAGAAACCTGTACATAGACCAAGAGGCAGTAATTCAAACAGAACAAGCAGATGCTGCGTGGTTTAAAGTCAAGAAAGGTGTGTGTCAGGGTTGCATCTTCCACCATATTTATTCAATCTGTATGCTGAGCAAATAATCCGAGAAGCTGAACTATATGAAGAAGAATGGGGTATCAGGATTGGAGGAAGACTCATTAACAACCTGCGTAATGCAGATGACACAACCTTGGTTGCTGAAAGTGTAAGAGGACTTGAAGCACTTACTGATGAAGATCAAAGACTACAGCCTTCAGTATGGATTACACCTCAACATAAAGAAAACAAAAATCCTCACAACGGGACCAATAAGCAACATCATGATAAACGGAGAAAAGATTGAAGTTGTAAAAGATTTCATTTTACTTGGTGTCATGGATTGAATTGTGTCCCCCAAAAAATGTCTGTCGGGTTGACTGGGTCATGATTCCCAGTATTGTATGATTGTGTAATCTGATGTGATTTCCTTATGTGTTGTAAACTCTATCACTATGGTGAGGTTATATGTGATCTCCTCATGTGTTGTAAACTCTGTCACTATGATGAGGTTATACGGATGAGGTCTACAAGGTTGGATAGTGTCTTAATCCGATCTCTTCTGAGCTATAAAAGAAGTGAGCAGAGACACATGGGAACCTCATACAACCAAGAAAGCAGTGCCGGGAGCAGAGTGCATCCTTTGGACCTGAGGTTCCTGCGCTGAGATCCTCCCAGACCAAAAGAAGACTGGTGCATCACAAGGACCTTCCTCCAAAGCCGACAGAGAGAGAGGGCCTTCTCCTGGAGCTGATGCCCTGAATTTGGATTGGTAGACTACTGGACTGTGAGAGAATAAACTTGTCTTTGTTAAAGCCATCCACTTGTGGTATTTCTGTTAGAGCAGCACTAGATGACTAAGACACTTGGATCCACAATCAATGCCCATGGAAGCAGCAGTCAAGAAATTAAACGATGCATTGCATTGGGCAAATATGCTGCAAAAGACCTCTTTAAAGGGTTAAAAAACAAAGATGTCACTTTAAGGACTAAGGTGGGCCTGACCCAAGCCATGGTGTTTTCAATTGCCTGATATGCACGTGAACGTTGGCAATAAATAACAAAGACCAAAGAATCAATGCCCTTGAATTATGGTGTTGGTGAAGAATATTGAATATACTATGGACTGCCAGAACAAACACATCTGTCTTGGAAGAAGTACAGCCAGAATGCTTCTTAGAAGTGAGAATGGCAAGACTTCATCTCACATACTTTGGACATGTTATCAGGAGGGAGCAGTCTCTGGAGAAGGACATTACGCTTTCTAAAGCAGAGGGTCAATGAAAAAGAGGAAGACTCTCGAGGAGATGGACTGACACAGTGGGTGCAACAATGGACTCAAGCATAACAACAATTGTGGGGATGGCGCAGGACTGGGCAGAGTTTAGTTGTGTTGTACACAGGGGCGCTATGAGTCAGAACTGACTCAACAGCACCTGACAACAACAATGTTAGTATGTCATTTTCTCATTCTTCATTTTGTATACTTTTGCTTGTTCCCCCTTGATGAAGCTCACTGGAACACTTACCTACTTATTTGTCTTCTTTTAAAAATAGCTATCGTGTTTATCATTTCTACTATTTGTGTTAGTTCCTGCTTCACTCTTGTAGTTTGATTATTCTTGTTTAGAACGTTTGCAAGGTAAATACTATATTCCTTTATTTTCAATTTGTCTTCATTAATAATAAAGTCATTTGAGGTTATACATTTTCCTCTGAACACAGCTTTAACTGCATCCTGTAGAGTTGGGTATGAAGTTATCCACCTTTGCAATGCTGTATAGATAATTTGTAACTTCAGATTTCAGTTTCTCTTTGATCCAGGGTTTTATACATATACAGAGAGAGAGAGGACTTGTTAATTTCTAAATATATATGTGATGGAATCTTGTGTTCTATTATATCTTTTCTATTCAACTTGTATGACTTTTTTCGTGGCCCAGGAATTTTGCAAATATTCCATGGGCTTAAATAGATGCAAAGTTCTCTTTCAACAAACATCAATTTAATTGAGCTTGCTGGTTGAATTTTTCAGTTTCTTTATTCTCGAACTTATTTTTTATCTACGTATCTGTTCCATTCTGGAATGGGTGAACTGAAGCCTGAGGAAGAGGGAGGCTGAGCACTCTGGTCCGTGGTCCAGCATGGAGGACGCCAAGCAGTGCCGTGGATCCCGAAGAGAGGCCCCGCCAGAGATGGTGCAGGGAGTGGGGGCGGAGCCAGGTTAGGGTGCAGAGCGAGTCAGTCCCGTTGCCAGGAAGCGGACAGGGACACAATGGGGTCTGGGAGTAGAGCTAGGCAGGGGCGGAAATTCAGCTGATAGTCGCCACCCCACCTTGCCTTCCCGCGCCGGGAGCCATCAGAACAGGTCAGTGCATCTGCTCGGACGTCAGGGCCTTCCTTCGGGGGCTCCAGGTCCCCCCACGCGGCCCCTCCCCCAGGGTATCCTCGCCCGACGCCCAAGATCTCCTGGTCCTCCGGAAACTCGGGGGATTCCCTTCCCGAAATCGAGGGACACACCCATCCTCCTGAACTCATTTTGGAGGCAGGCGACCGGAGATGGCCTTGAAGCTCTGTCCCCGCCCCGCGCCCCGACACCACGCTGGGAAAGCTGTTTGTTTTCTTTGGGCCTGGGATACCGGGTGGGCCCCGCCCCCGGAGTCGGGCTGAGCAGTAGGGGACTGGAGAGAGTGAGCTCCCCCGCGAATTGAGGGTGAAGGGCGGGGGCTGCCACCCCTCCCTCCGCAGGTGCCGCCGGCCGCCCGCGCCAGCCATTCGAGCTATGGGCTCGGACGGCTGCGTCGGCCCTTGGCGGCCTCACCGACCCCGCGGCCCCATCGCGGCGCTCTACAGAGGCCCGGGGCCCAAGTACAAGCTGCCGCCGAACACCGGTACCCGGGCGGGGGGGACACTGGGAGAGGGGGCCGTGCAGGGGGGTGGACTGTGCCGAAGTCGGGAGGGGTCTATTCACCCGGAGGCGCGGGGGCTGCGGGCTGAGGCCTCGGGGAGGGTCTGTGTGGGGGACCGAGTCTGTACTGAGAGGATTGTTAGGGAGACTGTGCCCGGAGGAGGGGGCAGGGTGCCTGTGTCCTGCAGGCGGGGAAGTCTGGCAAGCGGGGAGACGGGTGAGGGGGTCTGTGCCCCGGCGGGAGTGGAGGGAGGACGGGCCGGCGGTGACGCTGGGACACTCTCGCAGGTTACATCCTTCACGACCCGTCGCGGCCCCGAGCCCCCGCCTACACCTTCGGCGCGCGCCTCCCCACGCAACAGCAGTCGTGCAGCCCGGGGCCTGGCCACCTAGTGCCGGCCCGCATGACAGTGCGCGGCCCCGACGGCTCCCCCTCCTACTCCATCTACGGCCGCCCGCGCGACGCGGCGCCCTTCCGCACTCCTGGACCGGGTCAGGCTCCCTGGAACCCCCGCCTCCCCAACTCCGAGCCGCCTCCTGGAAGGCCCGCCCGGGAACCCCCACTGAACCCCTAACCGCCCTCGGGGACCGTAACATCCCAGATTCTGGACGCCATATCTGGAATCTCAAAATCCAGAACCCCGACTCCCACGTGGTTTTGAGAGATTCTGAGTCCAACTCCCCCGAGTCCCAGGACCCCAGCCCCGGCCCCCACCAGGCCCCCCACGCGGTTCCAGCCCACATCCTCGGTCCGCCCCGCAGGCAGATACTTCCCGGAAAGAGCCGGGAACCTGGCGTACCCCAGCGCGCCTCGGCACACCATCGCTCCTCGAAACTGGGGCGTCCAACCTGAGCGGCAAACGCCAGGTGAGACCAGAAAGAATCATCCCAGCACCGTGGAATCCCACCCTTTCCTCCCCACAGTCCTGGACCCTCACCGGGCCCGCCCTCCACAGTGCGCGCCGCAGGCACTAGGACCACCCGGCACTCGGATGGCTGGGGAGACCCTAGGCCTATCCGCAAGAACCCGCCCCCAGCTTGGCCCCTCGACTGCTCCACCCTAGGCCCCGGGACCTACACGGTGCCCTCGCTCTTGGGCTCCCGCGTCATCGGCAAGGTCTCGGCTCCAACTTACTCCATCTATGGCCGCAGCGCAGTGGGCACCTTCTTCGAGGACCTCAGCAAGGTGGGAGAGGTGCCACCAGGGCTCAACGTAGTAAGGGGTCAACAGAGGGGTTAGAGGGCAAGAGCAGCGTTGGTGGTTTGCGCGGGATGGAAGCCAGGCGCAGTGGCTCCCCTGCGCTCCCGCCAGACGCCGGGACCCTGCGCCTACCACGTGGTGAACCCAGCCGTCTACAAGTCCCGGGCCCCGCAGTTCACGATGCTGGCGCGGACTTCGCTCCCCGAAGACAACACCTTGAAGCCCGGGCCAGCGGCCTACAACGTGGACAAGGTGGCCTGGAGTTCAAGGGCGGGGGGCAGGGGCAGGAGCTGAGGGTTTGGCTCCTGGACCGAGGGTCAGAGGTCCGGAGCACGCAGAGCCGGACGGCCGGTCCACGCGGTCAGCGGCCTCTCCCGCCCACAGCACCGGAAGCCCCGTGGCTGGAGCTTTGGGATCCGACACTCCGACTACCTGGCCCCGATGGTGACCGACTTGGATGACTGACCCGCCGGGCGGGCGCGGCCCCACAAATGTTTGCTTAAAGCGTCCCATGCAGCCGCTTGTCCGTCTCTCTGTGCGCGCCCGGGTCGTTGGTGTCTGGGACAGTGGGGGTGGGGGGATCCCGCCCGCCTAGAGCTCTGCCCGGCGGGGATCCTCCTCGGCGACCTTCCGAGCGGCCCCGCCCACCCGCCTTTCTCGGGCCGCCATTGGCCACACGCCGACCTGCCCCCTGCCGCGGTCTGTGCAAGGGTCCACTGACCCCGCTGTCCAGATCCCGTGGCCAGGTGCGCGGCGGGCGAGACTGGGCTGGAATCCAGAGTAGGACGGGCGAGGGCTGCTGCGGGACAGGTATGGGCTGGGGGTTACGTTGTGAGACAAAGAAGTGGAGACAAACGCGGAGGGAGACAAGAACTTGGGGCAGAGGGTCTGACAGAGGCGAACACGAGGGGGGGGGAGGGAGAAAGAGAGAGAGGGGGAGAGAGGGGGGGAGGGAGAGAGAGAGAGAGAGGGGAGAGAGAGAGAGACAGAGAGAGAAAGAGGGTCGGGATAGGGGAACGTGGCCCCGGAGACGCGTACCCAAGGCAGTGGCAGGTTCCAGGTGTGTCTCGAACCCCTGCAGGCCCAGAGCGATGGAGGCTCCAGGGACCCCACGACCTCCTGGTGTCCTCGCGGGCGGAGGGAGTCAGGGGCCTGCGAACCCCGCTCCGGGGCCGAAGCAGCTCCCGGAGCTGATCCGCCTGAAGCGTGACGGAAGCCGCCTGAGCGAGGCGGACATCAGGGCCTTCGTGCGCGCCGTGGTGGACGGGAGCGCGCAGGGAGTGCAGATCGGTGCGTGGGGAGGGCTGGGCAGCCTGACCCCGACCTTGACTCTGACCCCCAGGTCGGCAAAGACTGTCCACCGTGTGGACTCCACAGCACCCCACCCCAGTCACTGCCCCAGGATCACTGGCTTTGTGTGACCCCCGGGCCTCCCCCTCCAGCTGCTCACAGGCGTTTACCCTACACCTAGGGGCCATGCTCATGGCCATCCGACTTCGGGGCATGGACCTGGAGGAAACCACAGCGTTGACCCAGGCCCTGGCCGAATCCGGGCAGCAGCTGGAGTGGCCAGAGGCCTGGCAGGGGCAGCTTGTGGACAAACATTCCACAGGGGGCGTGGGTGACAAGGTCAGCCTGGTCCTGGCACCTGCCCTGGCCGCCTGTGGCTGCAAGGTTAGAAGCCACCTCCTCCCCAGACCAAAACCTCTGACCCCAGAGAGCCAGCAACTCAGCCGCCCACAGGCAGCTCCCAGTCCCCAGCCTGGCCCAGACTATCCCCCAAGAGCAGGACCCAGGCTTCTCCACCCTCTAGTCGCCAGACTAGCCCCCAGGGCAGAAACTGGCTCCCCCACCCCCTCATCCCCCAGGCTAGACCCTATCGGACAGGACCAAGTACTCTCCTTCCCCTCAGTACCCTGGACAGGATGGGGCCTCAAAAGGGCAGGATTCTCTCCCTCAGTCCCCCAGACTTGTGCCCCTAAGGACAGGTACCAGCCTCCTACCCCACTGACCCCTCACCCCCAGCCAGGACAATCTGTTTTCCATTCTCTGGGCACCTACCACAGCTGCTTAATAAATGCTTCCTAACTCCAGCTGAAGTCCTAACCAGGGGGCACGCTAGAGGCGGGGCACTGCGCAGGTGCGCTCAGCATCCCTGCCCACCAGGTGCCAATGATTAGTGGACGCGGTCTTGGGCACACGGGGGGCACCCTGGATAAGCTGGAGTCTATTCCTGGATTCACTGTCACCCAGAGCCCAGAGCAGGTAGGGGAAGGGGTGGGGGGAATGGACAGTCATTGATTGAGGTTATGGAGATGTTGCTCCGAATGACTGAAGGGTAGCTGATGGGGCATTAATTAGGGCCACTAATGAGGATATTGATCTAAATTCATGGCCCGTTGATGGTCATTGGGCTTTGGTAATCAGTGGATCTTGATCAGGGTCATTAATGGAGAATTGGTCAAAATCACTGATGGGCCATTTATCAATCATCATGGGCCATAGGAAATTGATCAGGATCGTTGACGGGTCAAAGATCAGTCATTGATGAGAATTGATCATAATCATTCAAGGGTCACTGATGGTTACTGGTCATGGTTTTGGACATATGTCAAGGTTGCTGATGAATGGTTGATCAGGGTCAGTGATGGGGTCACTGGAGTCACTGAGAGTCCTGATGGGGGGGGGGGGTGCCTGAGCAGATGCGAGGGCTCCTGGAGCAAGTGGGCTGCTGTATCGTGGGCCAGAGCAAGAAGCTGGTTCCTGCAGACGGAATCCTGTATGCAGCCAGGGACGTGACTGCCACTGTAGACAGCCTGCCCCTCGTCACAGGTGACCTGACCTCAGACCCCGGGTCAGCCTCCTGCACACTGCAGATTTCTGACCTCCAGAGTCAGGGTCCTCACACCACAGGTGGCAGTCAGAATCAGGGTCCCTTCATCACAGAAGACCTGACTCCAGAGCCTGCCTCCCCCAAACCAGGTGACCTACACTCGATCCCTGGGGTCAGCCGCCTGCACATCACAAGTGCTATGACCCCCACCGTGTGCCTCGGCCCCGACCAGGGCCAGGGCCAGGGCCCCTGCATCGCAGGATGCCTGACTCTCAATTCGTGGAGGGTAGTCTGGGATTCAGCCCCCTGGGGACCCCAATGCCCAAGGCCCGTGACTGACTGACTGCTGACCTCAGAGTCGGCATCCCCTCATCCTGCGGGCAATGACCCCCTCCCAAGCTCTCCATTCCCCCAGCCTCCCCTGCCCCCCAGCCTCCATCCTCAGTAAGAAGGCCGTGGAAGGACTGATGGCTCTGGTGGTGGACGTGAAGTTTGGGGGGGCTGCAGTCTTTCCCACTGAGGCCCAGGCCCGGGAGCTGGCAACGATGCTGGTGAGCACCTGTGCCCACAGGAGCCTGTGAGGTGTGGCCTCACTTTGGGGGGGGGCCTGTAGTGTGGCCCCTCTGTGGGGTCCCTGTGTGGGTGGTGTGGAATGCTCATGGGTGGCTGGGGACTCTCTGTGGGGTGAGTCTCCTCATCTGGGCCCACTGTCCCCTTCAAACCTGTGCTCTGTGGCCTGGTGGCCCACCCCATCCTTTCCTCTGGCTCTTCGGACCCCTCTATCCACTCACAGCCAGGTCTGGCCCAGGTCTCATCCCCCTGTATCCTCCAGGGCTCCCTCCTGTGCCCCAGGCCAGGACCACTACTAGGTCAGGCACGTGCTGCTTGAGGTGTCTCCCCCTCAGCCTTCCCTGAGGCCTCAGCTCCTTGGGGGGCTGGACCAAGGAGCAGCCCGCTGCTGGAGCACACTTCCCAGAGTTTGGTGACTCGAGTTCCTGCCACGTGGAGTTCACCCTGACCGTGTCTCCACAGGTGGAGGTGGGGGCGGGCCTGGGGCTGCGGGTCGCAGCCGCCCTGACCTCCATGGACACCCCCCTGGGCCGCAGCGTGGGCCACACCCTGGAGGTAGAAGAGGCGCTGCTTTGCATGGACGGCGCGGGGCCCCCAGACCTGCGGGACCTGGTCACCCGGCTCGGTGAGCTGCGGGGGGCCGCAGGGCGAGAGTCGCCCCCGCCGGGAGCCCCGGGCCCCGCCGCACCTAACTCTACCGCCCGCAGGGGGCGACCTGCTCTGGCTCAGCGGGCGCGCGCAGGCCCAGGCCGAGGGCGCCGCCCGGGTGGCCGCAGTACTGGACGACGGCTCCGCCCTGGGCCGCTTCGAGCGGATGCTAACGGCGCAAGGCGTGGACAAGGACTTGGCTCGAGGCCTGTGCTCCGGGACCCCCGCGCGGCGCCGGCAGCTTCTGCCCCGCGCCCGGGAGCAGGAAGAGCTGCGCGCGGGCGCCGACGGTGAGAGCGGGAAGGGCCGGGGACCCCCGCCGCGCCCCTCCCGGAGCCCAGCCCGTCGCGGGGACCCCTGACCTCTCCCCGAAGACTCCAACCCACCTCGCCCCCACTTCCTCGAACCTAGTCGCTCTCTGGAGCCCTCTTCCCTCTCCAAGCGCAGCCCCTCCCCGGAGATCCCCGGGCGCTGTGGGGACCCCCGTCCCTCTCCGAGCCCAGCTCCCCCGCCGCAGTGCCCCGGCCCGCCCAGCTCCCTCTCCCCGCAGGCACCGTGGAGCTCATCCGGGCGCTGCCGCTGGCGTTCGTACTGCACGAGCTCGGGGCCGGACGCAGCCGCGTCGGGGAGCCCCTCCGGCCCGCCGTGGGCGCCGAGCTGCTGGTGGGCGTGGGCCAGAGGTTGCGCCGCGGTGAGCTTCCCCCGGCCACTGTCCTCCCGCCGATGACCCCGGCCACCTCCCCGATCGTCCCGCCGCTGACCCCCGCCCGCCCGCCCGCCCGCAGGGACGCCCTGGCTCCGCGTGCACCTGGACGGACCCGCTCTCAGCGACCCCCAGCGCCGCACCCTGCAGGGGGCGCTCGTGCTCTCGGACCGCGCGCCGTTCGCCGCGCCCTCGCCGTTTGTGGAGTTAGTCCTGCCGCCGCCTGCGCGCGCGCCCGGGGAGCCGCAGCAGTAAAGCCCGAGAACCGCGACGCAGTGACTTTGTCCTTGTCCTAGTCTGTGCCCGGCGCGCGGGGCGGGGCCACGAGGGGGCGGGGCGAGGGGCGGGGCCCGGCGAGGGTAGGGCCCGCGGGAGGGGTGGGGGTGAGGGTGCCCACCCCAATAACGACTGGACACGTGACCTACAGCGGGGGAGGGGGTGGGGTGCCAGCGACCATTGTGCACACGCGCAATGCTGAGCCCGCCCAGCCGCCGCGCCCACCTGCTCCTGCGCCTGCGCGGCGCTGTTGACGCAGGCGCGTTGGCGTCGAGCGTGGCGACTGTGGAGTCCGGTGACCCCCGCTGAGCCGCGTGGTATACTTTGGGGGCGGCGAGAAGACCTCAGGGTGCTGGGTCCGGGCCTTCCGAGGCTGCGTCCTCTAACACGCGGCCGCGACCGGCTGCCAACAGCCCCTTCCTGCTGCGAGGTCTGCGCGCGGGTGCGGGGGAAGGGGCGTGCCTGCGGGGCGGGGGGCTCGCACCTGGCCGGGGGCTCTCCGGTCCTCCGACGTGGCCAGCTGGCTGGCCGACCGGCGCGGTTCTGGGGTCAGGACCCCGGAGGAGGGTCTGCAGGTGTGTGGTCTGGGCCACCTCGGAGACCTGCTTTTCGGAGCCCGGCTCTGATTCTACACCGCGCACTGCTTCGTGTGGTCCCTAGTCCACTTTATGAACGAGGCGCCCACGGCCAGGAGCCGTCGGTTCGGTGAGGCCGGAAGCTTAGACTGGGTAGGGCCGCCCAGCCGCGGTGAGGCGTCTCCAGGGGAGGCTGCCACAGCCAGACAGCGCCGGGCGTTGAGAAGACACGGGTGCTGTCGGGAAACCTTGGAGGGAAGAGGGTGGAAACCTCACCACGTGTTTGCCAGGACCCGAGTACCGGGAGAGAAAGGTTGGCTATGGAGGGCATCAGCGAGGGATGAGCCGTGCACCTGAGGGCAGACTCACACTACTCAGGCAGGTTGGAGAGGGGCCGCTGCACCAAGGCTGAGGGCTCCGTTAGTCTTTGGGGCTGCAAGCGAGACTCATCCACCTCCTTCCAAAAAATGGGGCTTTATTACAAATAGATAAGCATACTCAAATCCAGGAAATTATTGCACTGGGGACACCTTCCTTTTGCAGGAGACAGGACACTCAGCTTCCAGCTGCAGGCGGAAGGCAGGCGGTGCCAAGGGGCAGGCACAGGACAGCAGCAGGACCAGAGGGTGGACACCAGGTGGGATGACGCCGACTGAGGCTGTCAGGTTAGAGCTGGTCAGATGCAGAGGTTTCAGAGGTGAGCATTGTCACCTGTTAAGTGAGATCTGGGGTACAGTCTTGGGCAGCAGCTAAGCTTGACTGTTAGGTAGGTCCTTCAGATGGGTGCTCAGAGGCCCCAGGGCAACTTGTTCCCTCCTTCTGGCTGCTGACACCTTTGTTCTTTACAGGTGTCAGGTCCATGCTGCTGCCGGCTCGGGCACCCAAGGCTTGGCAAGGGCTCTCCCGGCTCAAGCTGCTGGCCCCAGCCTCCCCTGGAGCCCTGGGAAGCGAGACCCTGCATCTGAGGCCCCGGCTCCTGTCATGGCAGGGCCCCGCAGGAACAGGAGGGCAAGGCCATCCCCAGGGTCCTGGGCTACGGACAAGGCTGCTCATCACTGCGCTATTTGGGGCGGGGCTCGGCGGGGCCTGGCTGGTTGCTCGGGCTGAGAAGGAGCGGTGGCGGCAGCAACAGCGGATAGAGGCCCTGCGCCAGGCAGCCGTGGGTCAGGGCGACTTTAGCCTGCTGGACCACCGGGGCCAGGCCCGCTGCAAAGCTGATTTCCGGGGCCAGTGGGTGCTGATGTACTTTGGCTTCACCCACTGCCCTGACATCTGCCCGGATGAACTGGAGAAGCTGGTGCAGGTGGTGCGGGAGCTGGAGGCCCACCCCAGCCTGCCCCCTGTGCAGCCCGTCTTTGTCACCGTGGACCCTGAGCGGGATGATGTGGCAGCCCTGGCCCACTATGTGCAGGACTTCCATCCGCGGCTGCTGGGGCTCACCGGCTCCGCCGAGCAGGTAGCCCAGGTGAGTCACAACTACCGCGTGTACTACAGCGCCGGCCCCAAGGACGAGGACCAGGACTACCTCGTGGATCACTCCGTCGCCATCTACCTGCTCAACCCCGACGGCCTCTTCACTGACTACTACGGCCGGGGCAGGTCGGCTGAGCAGATCGCGGACAGCGTGCAGCGCCACATGGCCGCCTTCCGCAGCATTCTCGGCTGAGCTGCAGTGCCCGTGTGTCATTAAACGACTGCCACGGAGCTCTGTGTGTGGTCTGCAAAAGGGCAGCTTGCAGGGGCAGGACAGGAAGCGCCAGGCTGGCAGTCGGCGGGGGTGCGGGCTGGGCAACCCTTCTCTCTGCACAGAACGGGAGTTTGGACATCATTGTTTGGTGGGTAGGTGGGATGGCAGTGCCACTTTATTAGGCTGGGCCAGCCAAGAAGCAGATGCTCTCTGTCCCAGCATGCATGGGGCCAGGGGGCTGGCAGCCCCACCCACCCCGTCTGAGTGCCGTCAGGGCTGGGCCATGGAGGGGGCCGCGTAGGTCTGGAAGCGCTTGTGGGCCCGCTGGTGCGTGAGCAGCCTCAGGGACATGGTGTCCACAGCGACCTCCAGCCCTGGCTGCTGCGCAATCTCCACCGTGTAGTCATTGGCCTGAGAGAAAGAGGTGTCAGCCAGGATCCTGGGGCCGCCACCCTGCACCCCCACCCTCACCCCCGGGCTACTTACCAGCTGCAGGGAGGCCAGCATGGAGCGACACACCTCGAAGGCAGGCTGGCCGGCCACCAGCTTGGCAAAGGGACGCCACTCATTGAGCTGGCTAAACCGTGAGACCAGCTGGTCCCCGTAAGTGTGGATGTCAAAGGGCGTGTGCTGCTCCTGTGCCAGGGAGAGGGGTCACGCTGTCCACAGGGTAAGGCCAGCCCTGGGACGAGCACCTCCAGGCCCCAGGTGGGCAGGAGGCTCCAGGCCTTCGCCAGGAGCTGCCTGTGGGGAGGGGACACGCTCCTACAGACCCACGGCACCCACTCACCTGCTCCCGGAGCAGGGGCTGGATGGTGTCCTCCCAGTCTCGGATGCGCTGGCTCAGCTCCGTCTCCTGGACAAACTTCTGGGAGGTGGCTATGAAGAGTTCCTGGGGGAACGGATAGAGGCTACGGCCTTCTGTGTAGGGACCTGGGCCCGCTGCCCCCACAAGCTCTGACCCAGACCTACCACATTCCTTTGAACCAGCTCCTCGTAGCTCAGGGATGGTGGCCTGGTCTCTGCATCTGGGAGAGGGACAGCTGTGAGCTGGGTGAGCTCCGGGGCCCCTCATTACCCACCGGGCCAGCTACCCACTCCCAGACCTACCTAGGTCATCACCTTCCCCAGGCCTTGTCCCTTCGGGCTCCAAGTAGTCCTCGGGCTCCAGAAAATCATCTAGAAATGGGAGGGCAGTGAGCAGGAAACCACACCCGCTGGGCAGGGGAGCCGAGCCCCACCCCGCCCAACAGCCAGGCACCCACCTGCCGCCCCAAGGTGCTCCAGCGAGTCTTCCAGCCGCTCCTCCTCTTCAGGCCACAGACCCTCCTCGGCCCTTGGCAGCCACTGCTCGCCCATCTGTCCACAGGGGGCAGCTGTGAGGGGCGCCCCTACCCCCCCCCCAGGGCCCACGGGGCTGACTACAGCCCGAGTGAACGCTACTCACCTCCCCCCTCCGCAGCCTCCGGAGGGCCTCCAGCTGCTCCTTCACGTGCCTCCAGTACAGGGCTTCCATGTCTATAGACAAGAGGCCTCGGGCAGGGGGGCGCCTCTGTCCTTCAGGCCCACCCTGCCCGCCCCGGCCAGGCAAGAAGCCCCTCAGGAGTGCCTGCCCGTGGGATCCCAGCCTCACCTGCGAAGGACGGGCCCTTCCTCCGCGGCCTCCTGCTGTCAGTGTGGTCAGCATCTAGGAGAGCACGGTCAGCAGGACCCCGGCGGAGGCCCCGCCGCCTTCCTCCGCGTGGCAGTGGCCTCTCCCTCCTCCCCAGCCCCAGCACCACCGCACCAACTCACAAGCGGCCAGGTACCACTGGTGGAAGTCTTGCAGCTTGGTGGCACGCTTCCTCTTGCGCTTCTGTCCCGGAGCCTCCTCCACGCAGGGTGGCACAGAGAAGGGCCTACCTGGGGGGAAACGGGGACTCTGTCCTGGAGCTGAACTGTAGGGCCCTGGAGACCTTGGGAGGTGACCTTGAGCAGTGACTGTGGAGCCTAAGGTCACACAGTCCTCACTCCTGCCCCACCTCTCCTAGAAGCGAGAGAGGGAAGACTGTCCCCACCAGGCTCCTGGCTGGGACACAAAGCTCACCCCCATCGCGTCCCCGTGAACCCAGCCACCCCCCCCATTACCTTTCTTGAAGGGCTTAGACTCCAAGGAGTCGAAGGGGTCCAGGCTCTGCCAGGGATCCGGGGCCTTCTGAGCACAGAGCACAAGCAGACGCTGGGGTGGGGGATTCAGGAGAAGATAACCCCAGACTGCAGGAGGGGGCTCTAATCTGAGGGAAGAACATTCCTCGGAGAAGAAAGAGAAGGCAGGTGCAAAGGACCTGGGGTGCTGGGGGGGAGGGGGAGAGGGGGGCCAGGTGAGCGCAGGGATGGCACATGAGGGGGTGGGTGGGGGTCCTTACGCACCTTCAGCTGGGACATGGGCACTGGGGCCTCCACTCGCTCACGCAGCATGTACCTCCGGGGCAGGTCAGCACTCTGCAGAGACACCCACACAGCCCGCCTCACTCCTCCACCCCGGGCCCTGAGCCCCTGGCCTGCAGACACCCAGCAGCTCTATTCTGGGGCAGAACATTCAAGTAGTTCAAGGACTAAAGTGTAAAAAGTAAAACAAAAAATCTAAGAAAACTTAAACCCATTGCCGTTGAGTCACTTCCGACTCATAGCGACCCTGTAGGACAGAATAGAACTGCTCTGTAGGGTTTCCAAGGAGCGGCTGCTGGATTCGAACTGCCGACCTTTGGTTAGCAGCTATACCTCGCTGTAGCTCTTAACCACTGCGACACCAGGGCTCCAGAAAACTCTAGGAGGCCTGTCTATGAACTAGCGGACTAGTGGTAGTGGAGTACTTATGAAAAACACGAAAAAAGAATAACATGACAGACATCCACGTGTCTACCAACTGGAATTAGCAAATGTTCACGTTTTTCTCCTTTACGCTTCAGGGTTTTCAACAGAAGGCAGAAGAACTTTCCTCAGCCGTGTCTTGAGCACAGCCAACCCTGGGGGAGCTGAGGAGGCACAGCCTGACCACAGGGAAGCTGGCCAGGAGCACCAGCTGCCCTCCCAGGTGGCTGTGGGCTCTGCAGAGCTCAGACCCTCCAACAGCAACTATCCTCCTCGAGCAGTGGATTCTGTGCTCAGGAAGGGCGGGAGGCGTGGAGTCGCCAGCAGAGGGCTGCTGCAGGACCGCGTCTGGGCCAGTAGAGGAGGCCGGGCTTCTAGGCAAAGCCACCCACTCCCTGCAGCTGAGGGGCCAGGGAGCACCAGCCACAGTGATGCACCCGCTCCCCCCGTTGAGAACTCAGGGCAGCTCCACTTGCCTCGTCCTGTCTTGGGGTGCACTCACCTGGGCTCTCGGGCCTCAGTGGGGTCCTACCTGCTGTGGGCTCAGCTCCAGAGGGACCTCAGGGACCACGGCCTCGGGGAGCTCTGCCGCTGCCTCGTCCTCCTCGTCTTCACCCCTGTCATCCCCCCCACCTCCAGGCATCAGGCCTTCTGGAGAGTGCAGGGCAGGAGAGCAAGACCCTCAGCCCCAAGGAACCTAGAGACCCAAACTGTGGAGGGAGGGGCTGCCCCTAGGGAGAGGTGGGGGTGCCCAGCTGCCCTTGGCCAGACACCAGGAGACCAGACTCTCAGGTCCTGTAATTAGAGCCTAGAGATCAGCAGGTCTGCTTTATAAACGCTGCTCCTCACACTTGTGTTCTATTTCTTGGCAAGTGTTCCTCTTTAAATGGAGGGGGCAGCCCCCACTCAGTGCCGTGGCGCCGCCCCACTGGGGTGCTCTCACCTGGCTCTGGGGAGCAGCTGGGTGCAGGCTCAGGACTCTTGCACACAGAGACTTCCACTGGCTGCTCCTCAGCCCTCCCAGTGTCTGCCAAGACAGGGCGCAGGGCAGGGTCAGCCCAGTCCCTCCCACAGAGACCCACCCGGGTGTCACAGAACCCAGCGGGCCCCATGTGTCAGGTACCCCGAGGCCAGCTCTGACCTTGCCAGCCTACAGTCACCATCAGGGGACACTGGACAGCTGGGCAGACAGGGACGACAAGGGACAAGGCCCAACAACCCATCCAGAATGGAGCAGGAGGCCTGGGGACGGAGTGAGGTTACCTGGCCCAGGTGATGGCTGGGATCGATGCCTCAGGGGGGCGCCCTCCCTGGGGAAGGCAGGCGGGGGAACCTGACAATGGAGTCCACTCAAAGACCCCCACAGCCAGCCCCTCACCTTTCTGGGTCCTCTGCAGCAGCGTCTCCTGGGGGTACATGCCCACGGGTTCCAGCATGAAGGCCCCTCTGGGGTGGGGGGTGCATGTGTTCATCCTGAAATCCTTCCGGCTGGCCAGCACCTCTCCCTGACAGCTGTGCCGGCAAAAACACACCTGCAGTAGACACCTTCCCAGGCAGCCCTCCCAAGCGCCCGGCTCGGGCCCATACCTGTACAGCGGGTGGTGGTTCTTCTCCACCTCGTCCGGGGCCACCAGGGCCATGGGCATGAGGGGCACAATGACCACTTCCTGCATGGGGGCCAGGGGCTGGTGTGAGCAATGCATTCCTCAGGCCTAGGGCAGGGAGCCCACACCGCCCAGCACCCCTTCCACTAGCAAGACACCCCAGGAGAGCCCTGAAGGGGCTGCTCACACTGGCAGATTGGCCATCCTTCAGGTCCACGCAGGCCCGGGCATCGGGCATCTCATCCAGGGACAAGAACTATGGGAAACACGAGTCATGCAGGGGCCACAGCCAGGAGCCACACCACCAGGCGGGGCCACCTGCCAAGACCCTCACCTCGTCCTCTGGCTCCCGGGGGCCCCCGGAGCTGGCATCCCCAGCACCCCCATCGTCCCGCGCTAAGGAGAGCTGCTTGGCCTGCCTGGGAGAGATGGTCCCTGTGTGGGCTTCACAGGGGGCGCGGGGCCTCCCTAGTCACGGCCCCCGGCACCCCCCCTCAGTACTCACTTTTTCCCAGAGATGAAATCGAGGGCCTGGTAGACCAGCGAGTAGAGGTACTCCACCTGCCACCAGGGCGCAAGTGAGGACGCGGAAGGGCGGGCCCAGTCCAGCCACCCAGCCCTAGTCCCTGGGGCCTACCAAACCAGGCCTGTGCACACCCAGAGGTCTGGCCTCATCTCCAAAACCCCAGGTGCAAGTCCTACCAATTCTACTGCCAAAACCACATTTCAAATCCAGCTGACGTCTCCATGTAACTACTGGCCGCTGGAGGCTCCCCTCCCCACTCCCCCCGACCACCGACCACAGCAGCCAGTGAGGCCCAAAGCCGCAGACCCCATCCGGCCCTGGTTCCCCCAGTGCGCTTCCTCGCTGGTCACGCCCCCGCGCGACCACGCCCCCACCCTCCTTGCTCCTCCCACCAGGAGCCTGTGGTCAGTCCCTGCTGTTACCCCACCCCACACCTGTGCTAGCTCCTCCTGTCCCCTCAGACTCAGCCTCATGCCGCTGCCTCCTGCTGGCCCTGTGGCAGCTCCAATCACAAGCCTTGTTTCCTGTCTAGAATCCGAGGACCCACTGAGCTGGTGGAGGGGTCTCAGGCCTTTGAGTTGCCGAGGCCAACAAGACTGCTGGATGACAGAGCAGAGCGCACACGCGCCACCCTACAGGCTATCCCCACTCGCATTAGGTGTTATTCCTCCAGGCAACAAGAGAGCCAAGAACGCAAGCGCCTGTCTTCTTGGGCACGCAAAGCCATGTTACATCCAAACTTGTTGTTTGGTGCTACAAGGACTCGGGAGCGGGGGCTGAGATGCTGGGAGGCCAGGTCAGAGGCAGACAAGCCCCTGGCCCTCCGCACACCCCGGGCTCACCTTCTTACTGTAGACACAGGCAGAGCCCTGGATCAGCAGCGCGGCCTCAATGAAGTTCATTGTAGTCTTGCCTTCATCAAAAGAAATGCAGATCTGGTCCAGCTGCAAGACACCCGCAGACAGGGGGGCCGGAGCCCCATCCCAGTGTGGCCTCAGGCATGCTTCCTCCCCCTGCAGGGCCCCCTCTCCTGCCTCCTCCCCTCGCAGCTCCCCTCACCCCCCTCAGCAGCCCCCCTGCTCCCTCTGCAGC